TCATGGGCCAGGCAGGAAAACTCTAGCTACGTGTGTGTGTTTTGCCTGTATGTATGCTTGTGGACTAGTGTGCAAGCATGATGCCTGCAGAGGTCAGAAGAGGATGTCAGATGCTCTGGAACTGGAGTTACAGTTATTAGCTGCCATGTGGTGGTACTGGGAATTGAACCTAGGTCTTCTGCAAGAGCTACCTCTCTAGTCCAGGCAAGAGCTCCTTCTTAAACAACTGAATGGGAGGAGTGTGTTTTGAGAAATATTTGAATGGTAAAATTAACAAACTTGATAGGTTAGTTTTTTTTTTTTTTTTTTATTATGTATGCAGTGTTCTGCCTGCAGGCATGTCTGCACTGCAGGCCAGAAGAGGGCGCTAGATCTCATTATAGATGGTTGTGAGCCACCATGTGGTTGCTGGGAATTGAACTCAGGATCTCTGGAAGAGCAGCCAGTGTTCTTAACCTCTGAGCCATCTCTCCAGCCCGATAGGTTAGTTTTTGAGACAGGATCTTCTATATCCTGAGGCTAGTCACAAAATTTTATCAAAACAAGGCGAGATGGTCCTTCAGGTTCCTGCTTCACAGAGGAGAATGCCATATATTCTACAAGACACAGAGAGAAGGGACTAAAAAACTCTAGGCCTATAGGCTGAAGATGGATGCCCCAACGTTGCAGAGGAACTTTGGGTGACTGTCCAGGCAGCTAGCTGTCTCTGTTATTCTAGATTTTTGGAAGTTGCTTACAATGCACTTCCTGTTTACTTAGGTAAATATTATATTCTTCTGGGGTCTTTGATGTAGTTGAAGACTAGTTATAATTGTAACTTTCCTTGGTTATAAATAATAAAAGATAAATTAGATATAAAACTTTAGACTCATAAATATAGGATAGAGAGAATATTTTCTTTAATTTTGCCAAATACAAATAGACTAGATATTGTAACTGTAATTCCTGCTTGATAACTGTTCTATTATATGTAATTTTACTACGTTAAAGTTAAAACCTTCCTTTTTGATTAGACAGAAAAGGAGAAGTGCTGTGGGATATCTTTCTGTATGCTGTGAATGTGCTGCTCCCATTGGCTAATAAATAAAGCTGTTTTGGCCTATGGCAAGGCAGCTTAGAGGCAGGTGGGAAATCCAAGCAGAGATATGAAGAGATGAAAGGAGGGTAGAGAGAGATGCCTAGCCGCTGCCCAAGGAGCTGCAAGATGCCAGCAGACCGGCAAATGCCATAGCCACGTGGCAAAACACAGATTAATAGAAATAGGTTAATTTAAGATGAAAGAGCTAGCTAGCAAGAAACCTGAGCCATAGGCCATACAGTTTGTAAATAATATTAAGCCTCTGAATGATTATTTTATAAGCAGCTGCAGGACCACAGGTCCGGGCGGGACCAAAGAAACTTACCATTACACTATGTAGCTAAGTGTGACCCTGAACTTCTGATCCTTTTGGGATTACAAGTGTACACCACCACATCCCATTTATGAGGTGCTAGGAATCAAACCCAAGACTTCACGCATGCTAGGCAGGCACTTAGCAACTGAACTATACCACAACAGGCTGGTGGTTTACTTGAGGGAGGGGCGCCCAAGACATAGGCCAGCAGTAGCTATAGGGTTATAGCTGTATGGTCTCAAATAAAATAACCAGAACATCTCTGTGATCAGAGATACAGAGACTGGTCATGTCCTCTCTGAAGAACACCAGAGATGCCAGCTGGGGAGCAGTGGCCAACCAGAAACTAGCAATGGCAGGGAATTGACACCACCTCAATTGGAAGGACAGAGAATGGAGGTGGGTGGTGTCAGTGTCTCAGGAGATGACTCACCAGTAGAGAGGGCCACTGCCAGACCACAGGAGGGAGAGGAAGGACAAGAGAAGTCCCCCCTCACCCACTGAAGACAGCTGGAGGAGACTGGAGTCTGAGTGTTGCCCCACCAGTTTAAATGGGCAGCAGGGTAGAAGAATGGCCTCTTCTGAGAAGGTGGAGATGTGTCCATTTCAGGACATGAGGAGTTTGAGGTGCCCAGGGGAGCATTCAAGGGTAGCAACCCAGCAGTTGGAAGTTACTGGACCAATTTCAGAGATGAGGTGGGGTAGGAAGGGCAGAACTACCTAAACAGCATCCAACCGCAGGCCATCAAGTGTGGTGCTTTCCCACTGGGCCATCTCACCAGCCCTGGAGCTGGGATCTCGAATGCGCTGTCTTCTCATTTGTAAAATGGGAACAACAGTATGGTTTTGTTTGTTTGTTTGTTTGTTTTTTGTTTTTTCGAGACAGGGTTTCTCTGTAGCTTTGAAGCCTGTCCTGGACTAGCTCTATAGACCAGGCTGGCCTCAAACTCAACAGAGATCCACCTGCCTCTGACTCCCGAGTGCTGGGATTACAGGTATGCGCCACCACCGCCCGGCTTTTTTTTTTTTCCCGAGACAGGGTTTCTCTGTGTAGTTTTGGTGTCTGTCCTGGATCTCACTTTGTAGACCAGGCTGGCCTTGAACTCACAGAGATTTGCCTGGCTCTGCCTCTCGAGTGCTGGGATTAAAGGCGTGTGCCACCACCGCTCAGCCGACAGTATATTTTTTATGGGTTGCTCTGGGTATTTAACTGTGGCCAGCTTGGTATTTGCTACTTAATATAAGTTCAGCAGTTATAAGTTTTGGTGTGTGTATGGAGTGAATGTGGAAGCCAGAAAACAAACTCAGGTGTTATTCCTCCAAAATGACATTTAAAAAAAAAAAAAAAAAGACAAGGTCTCCCACTGGCCTGAACCTGCCAAGTAGTTAAGCCAGCTGGCCAGGCAGCCACAGGATCTACCTGTCTTTGCCATCACACACTGGGATTACTGTTAGGGGTAGACAGGCCATCTGTTTTAACTTATTTTAATCCTGAATCAGCAGTAAAGTAGCTCCCCTATGTACCCTTAGCTGTCTGCCCACACCATTCTTGAAGGACGGTAGGACAAGAGCACAGAGAATGGAGGAAGTCCCTACAGACTGTCTCATTACAAGTGCACACTGCACATGCAGGAGAAACTCAAACAGAATTGATGGTATAAACGATTTCCTAATGATTTGCCTAGGATACACTACATCACACAAAGTAGAATTTAGCTAAGGGAGTGCTGCCTCTAAAATACCAAAGATAAGGAGTATGCTAATTAGGCCTGCTAAGAAATAAGCAAAACTTACTGGGTGGTGGTGGTGGTGCATGCCTTTGAGCCCAGCACTTAGGAGGCAGAGGCAGGTGGATCTCTGTGAGTTGAGTTTGAGGTCAGCCTGGTCTACAGAGATAGTTCCAGGACAGCCAGGGCTACATAGACAAAGAAACCCTGTCTCAAACCACAGCCCCACCCCACCGCCCAAAAAAAAGAAAGAAAGAAGCAAAACTTGCAATGCTAGGATGTAAATGTTCACCAGGACTGACCAGCCATTAGGCTCATCCCCAAAGAACATGCCTATCAGGAAGTTTAATGGGCCTGTGCAGAGCCATAACTACCACTAAGTCCTGGTCTTCCATTAAGTCCCATATGCTCTTATCAGGAAAAGCATAATTCTGCCAGGTGGGCAAGATGACCCTGGGTAACAACTATTCAAAGGCAACACTGATGTACTTAAGACATAATTCTGACGATATCTTTGCTGTGTAGATCTCCCATCTGCCCAAGTGGTCAGACTAGAGTTTCCCATCTCTATTTAATTTGTTCAAAATGTAATGGGGTCTGGACCTGAAAGAGATTTAAGGGTGACTGTGCATGCAAAATGCACAGGCCTAACATGTATGTAAGTTAGTAACACCTTCTATTCGAGGCTGGCTTTCTCTTTGGGCATTAGCCATATCTGCTTGCATATAAAGAGCTTTTCCTTTACTGATCTCTAAGTGTTCAGAATAATTTCTCATATCATTTCTACAACTCTACTGTGCCAGGCTTTGTGTGTGTGTGTGGTTTTTGTTTTTGTTTTTTTTTTTTTTTTTGGTGGGTTCTGGGGATTGAATTCATCACCCACCAACTGAACTACTGACTCTGTCTCTAGGTCAATGGTTCTTAACCTATGAGTTGTGTTGGGGGTCAAACGACCCTTTCACAGGGGTTGCATATTAGATATTCTGCATCTCAGATATTTACATTATGATTTGTAACAGTAGCAAAATTACTGTTGTGAAGTAGCAACAAAAGTAATTTTATCCCTGGCGGTGGTGGGGCAGGCCTTTAATCCCAGCACTTGGGAGGCAGAGGCAGGCAGGTTTTATGGTTGGTGCTCACCACAGCATGAGGAACTGTATTAAGGGGTTGCAGATAGGAAGATTGAGAACTACTGGTCTAGGTGATCCCCTGCCTACTCCCCCTCCACACACACACAGATGAGAAATCAAGCCCTGGTTAAGAGAAATATCCAGCCGGGCGGTGGTGGCGCACGCCTTTAATCCCAGCACTCGGGAGGCGGAGCCAGGCAGATCTCTGTGAGTTCGAGGCCAGCCTGGGCTACCAAGTGAGTTCCAGGAAAGGCGCAAAGCTACACAGAGAAACCCTGTCTCAAAAAACCAAAAAAAAAAAAAAAAAAAAAAAAAAAAAAAAAAAAAAAGAGAAATATCTAGAATAATAGGCTACTTAGGGCAAAGTCAGCATGAAAACCTAGATCTCATCCAGGTGTCAGCTCCCACACAGGAAGCATGGTGAAACAGTGATCTGGCCAGGGCTTGTATCAGGCTGGGGAGAGTAGCAATTCATTGTATCCAGCCTAGAATAGTGGGTTTATAGAGGCAGCTCCAGCCAGGGGACGAAGAGTGGTCAGAGGACAAAGAAATCAGTCTAAATAAAGGGAGGATTCTGGGACTGGAGAGATGTTCAACAGTTAGTAGCCCATACTTCTCTCACAGAGTACCAGAGTTTGGTTCCCAGAAACTTAGAGTTGCCTGTAATTCCAGCACTAAAAGGGGATAGGACACTTCTGGCCTCCAATGGCACCTACACTCACACAGAAATATATATATAAAACTTAAAATAATAAAAGTAAATCTTTAATAAATTAAGCAAAAGCCAGTGGAGCACACACACCTTTAATCCCAGCACTCGGGAGGCAGAGGCAGGCGGATCTCTGTGAGCTCAAGGCCAGCCTGGGCTACAGATAGAGATCTAGGACAGCCAGGGCTACACAGAGAAACCCTGTCTCGAAAAGCAAAAACAAAAAAAAAATTAAGAGAACGTTTCTTTTTTCTTTACCGTTTATGTGTGTTTTCATCTGTGAGTATATGACATGTGTGTGCAGGTGCCCTTAGAGGTCAAAAAGTCCTGCGGAGTTGGTGTTACAGGAGGTTTTGAGCCAGTGTGTAGGCGCTGGGAAGTCCTGGGCAAGAACAAGCCCTCTGAACCTCTCTAGCTCTAAAGGGGGCATTTTTATAGCTAGACATAGGCATAGGCTAACAGGATTTCCTACGCGGTCCCGGACATTTTCCATGATCCTCCAATCTCAGCCACTTCAGAGGGTGAAGTGACTTTTGCTTTATTTATCTACAGACAGAATATCTTGTGTCCCAAGGACGACTTTTAAGTTCTCATCATCCCGGCCGCCACTCCTCAGAATTGCAGTAACTGCATTCTTGTGCCGCCACGCCTGGTTCAGGCAGTGAAGGATGGAACCCGGGGCCTCATCCCAAGCCCCGCTTGCTGGTCTTTTTCAAAAGGACACCAGCAGCCAAGAAATTAACAAATGGTGAAATCTTCAAAGACTCGGTCCCAGGATGGCCAGGCTTGCACTCTCTGTACCGGCGTCACTGCAGAGCCTTCAGCCCTGTGCGTAGCCGGTACCCAGCTTCCAACCATTCACGGTCTAGCGCAGGCCTGCGCAATCGCGGGGTCAGGCACGCAGGCGGAAGTGACGCCACCTCACCTACTCCGCGGGAACCGCGCCAGGCCGCAGCCGAGTCTCCGGACTCCAGGGTGCTTCCGGAGCTTTTAGCGCTGCGCGCTTGCGTCATCGCGTAGACTGGCAGGGCTGCGGGACGGAGGGGTGACGTGTGAGTCGCGAATAGCAGAGGAGGGCGGGTCCAGGGCGAGGATTAGGAGTTAGCCCCGCCTCTTAAAGGAAACCGTACCTCTCCTCGCGGCCTCGGGGCGCACTCTGCAGTGTGGCTCCTTTAAAGGTCGTGATGACACGTGTGTGAGGCTCCGGAGGCCCGGATGGTGCGCGTGCGGGCCCGGCCCGGAGCGGACGCTAGAGCTGCGCCGGCCTTCCGCGGGCCGCCGAGAGGCCTGTGAGGTTGAGGTCGAACACGGCGGAGCGCAGGTGAATCGGCCAGGCTTGGGACGAGGGCGGGCGGGAGGTGTGCGTTTCCACCCGCGGGGCTTAGGGACTCCAGAGAAGGCTGACAGGTGCGTGGCCGGCGAGGGCGACCGGGACCCGAGGAGGACGGACTAGGGACGTGAGGACCTGGGCTTCCCGGGGAGGACAGGGGATGCAAGCGGCATAGGGAACACGGAGGAGGGATGGGGTGTGAGGAGCGTGGAGGAACAAGGGATGCCGGAGACCGAGGAAGGGGCAGGTGATGCGAGGGACGCCTGCGAACCCTAGCGTGACCTGGTCATTGCATCAGTCGCTCTGCATCCCGGGGTTCTTCCGGAACTTGGGGTCACAGGGATCTGAGTGACCCCGAGGTTGCACTCTCGGAGCGGGTTGTTCCTTAGGAGGTTCGCGGCGCTGCAAACCTCCGCGTGGTCAGGCAGAACTGAAGTCCAGCTTGTAGTCTAGGGCGGGGACAGATCCTTAACGCGGATCCACACCGAATTGTAATAGCAGGTCAGCATTCTAACCAAAATGCCCATTTCTTCTGGTGTATGAGAGTGCGTGTGTGTGTGTGTGTGTGTGTGTGTGTGTGTGTGTGTGTGTGTGTGTGTGTATGTGCGCGTGGGTGCGTGCGCGCGCGCTTATGCGCGCCCTCGCGCGCCTGCCTGCGTCTGTGGCGTATCCCTTAGGGATGGAGATGGTAGAATAGCATCCTAAAACAGGGAGAGATGTACCCCGGCACCTTCATTGTCTGGCTTAGGAATGGATGCCAAACAGACGTGTATTTCAGCTGTTCCTGGCTAGGAATGCTCTGCTATAGAGCCTTGGAGGCCCCAGCCCTGTCCCTCTTCTCCCGCAGCTTGTAACTGACCCCGTGAGTCTTAAGTGAGGTTTTCTTGGGAAACGGTTTAAGAGGGAAATGCTTTGTTTAAATGGTGTCTGTCTGGATGGAGGAGCCAGGCTTGAGTTACAGAGTTAGGTATATATATTGAGGGCACAGAGTACCCTAGACCTTCAGAGACCTGGGTAGGCAGTGCATCCCTCAGCCTCAGGGTCACACATGCATATCAGAGGACTTGCTGGGAATCACAAGAGCGTTTCCTTGGTTCCTACATCACGCAGCTGTATCTTTCAGGTAGAATTGTATAGACTTTACTGTCACAACTTCAAAAATTATCCTGACTGAATGAACCTGACTTAAGTGTAAGGTGCTTATGACTTTGGTCGTGCTTGGACCATGTTAGGTCAGGACAAAGTTCTCACCTCCCTGTGGGAAGGTATGAGTGATTTTGGAAGTGATGTTGATGGAGCTCTCGGAAGACAGGCTGGCTTCCTTCTGCAGCTTGAGAACATTCTGTTGGGGGTGGGAGTATTGGTTAGATGGAGTGGAAGTTCTGAGGCATTCTGTAACAGAACCTAGGAATGGGCAGACAGTCATTAAGCCTGTCAGTGGTGTATTGTGCTGATGTGCTGTCCTTTGAATCTGTGTGTGTTTGAATAGATGGAAAATGCCTTTACTTTGTGTGATCAGGTGGACTGTAGGTGGGAACTGAAGAAAGGGTTTATAGTTAGTAAAATGTCATGGTTATTTTCTTAAAAAGAAAAAACCGGCTAATGAAATTAAAAAAAAGTTTGAGATTTTTATCAATTATTCTTATTGACTCATAGTCTTTGGACCTGATATTCAGACTGAAGTTGCCCCAGGGGTGTGAGAAGTGTGAGTGAGGATCGTGGTGTAGAGCAGGGGGGTAGTGCGTTCATGTCATAAATTTAGTGATCTGTTAGCACAGCTGTCCTCTGGACTCACTGTGAATTCAACACAGAGCTTTTTTTTTTTTTTAAAGACAAAGTCTTGCTACGTAGCCCAGGCTGGCCTTGAATGCTTGCTCCTCCTGCCTCCGCTTCTTGAATGTTGGGATTATGGGCATGCATCTTTGGGCTTGGCTTCCTTTGACAATAGTGGTGCCGCTTTCCTGGTACAAGGTCACAGTTCACACAAATCGGGTAAAGGGACAGCGGGAGAAGCCAGCCGTGGGTGACAGTCTCGCTGCTCATCCTCCAGGTGCTGGTGCCTATTCTGGACTCTACACTTGGCAGTGTTGGTGACTGAGCAGGCTGAAGTCCAGGGGAGCACCTGCCGGGTCAGTTCCGTGCCTGCCTTGAGAATCTGATTCCCTGCTGCAGAGAAAAGCAGCACCCAGGCTCAGACACCCCAGGTGAGCCCCGGAGGTTTCCTTGTCTCTTTCTTCCAGAGGCCAGAGGCTGGGAATGACTGTCCTGTGGGTGAAAGTCCTGGTGAGTCCCCACCGCAGACGACTTTGTGATTCTTGTGTCAGAGGACTTGATGCTTGCTTTTGTTTCTAATTTTACTTGTTTTGGGGTACACCTGTGTAACTGCTTCTTGGATAGTCAGAGTAGTGGGTGCCATCTGTCCGATGTGAACGAGCAGTTTCAGGGATGTATTTTTATAAATGTGACTCAAACAGCTAATGGTGGCCAGGTGGGTTGAGAGTTAGGAGGTAGGGCAGGATGGGGTTACGGGTGTGGCAGTCAGGTGATGGAGGGGCTCATCTTCGTTACAGTGTCTGTGCTGTTGTCCTCTGGGCCTCTGTTAGGGACTCCGGTGCAGCAGGCTTCCCAGTTAGACTCTGAGCATTGGGGCTGTGCGAAGATAAAGAACACACAGGTCTGCCACTCTTGGAGCCAATGTCCCTGCTGCCCACTTAGCTTTTCTTCTCAAGCTGTTCACTCAGGGATAGAGAGCTTGTGTGCGTGTGTGTGTCTCTGTGTGTGTGTCTGTCTGTCTGTCTATGTCTGTGTGTGTGTCTGAGACATGGTCATACTCTGTAGCCCAGGCTGGCCTGGAATTCGCAGTTGTCGTTCTGCCTCAACTTCCCAAGTGCTGGGAGTAAGCCATGCTCAGCTAAGAAAGAGTCTGTATGTCCACTGCCCACTAGAAACAGAATGGCCAGATGCAATGTCAAAGTTCACAGCAGCTACATGAGAAAAATAAAAAGGTAAAATTGATTTTTATGATATGTTTTATTTGAACTAATTTATGTAAGATATTGTTGTTTCAACACTTGCCAGGTGAGAGATGGAGATGCCTTGTGTTGTTTTCTTAAAGTAGGCCATGGAAACCTGATGGTGAATCTTTGTAGCTCTTGGCCTGAACCAGGCTTGTTTCACATGCTCAGTATCGAATGTGGCCCCTGGCCTCTGTAGAAGAACATAGAGAGGCCTGTGCAGATGTGCCTGGCCATCTGACTTATATGCTGATTCATTCGTGGGTGTGTGTGTATGTGTGTGTGTGTGTGTGTGTGTGTGTGTGTATGGTTAATTTTTGGTTTAAGAAAGTGTCTCAGCCAGGTGGTGGTGGCGCACGCCTTTAATCCCAGCACTTGGGAGGCAGAGCCAGGCGGATCTCTGTGAGTTCGAGGCCAGCCTGGGCTACCAAGTGAGTTCCAGGAAAGACGCAAAGCTACACAGAGAAACCCTGTCTCGAAAAACCAAAAAAAAAAAAAAAAAAAAAGAAAGTGTCTCTCTGGGGCTGGAGAGATGTCTCTGGTTAAGAGCACTGGCTGGTTTTCTAGAGAACCTGGGTTCAGTTTCGAGCACCCACATGGCAGTTCACAACTGTAACTCCAGTTCCAGGGGATCTATTGCACTGGGCAGGCAAGTAACTCATACACATAAAATTTAATAAATCTTGAGAGAGAGAAAGAGTCTCACTATGTAGCCCTGGCTGGCCTGAAACTCTGTATAAAGCAGGCTGATCTCCAATTGACTGAGATCCACATAGATTTGCCTCCCAAGTGCTAGGACTAAAGGTGTGTGGACTACTCCCAGACAAGAGTTTTGTTTTTTTTTTAATGTTTATTTTTAATTATAGATATGTGTGTTTATGTCCACGTGAGTGCAAGTGCCTGTGAATTCTAGAAGAGGGTATTGGATCCCCTGGATCTGGCTGTAGATGGTTGTAAGTTGCCTGACATGAGTGCTGGGAACCGCACTTGGCTCCTCTTCAAGAGCAGTGCGTACACTGAGCCGTCTCTGCAACCCCCGCCCCAGTTCATTTTTCACATTTGTGGCTGGTAACCAGAGTATGAGCATCAGCCATCCACTGTCTTTTAAATAGTTTCAGGAAATAATGCTGATTGGCACATGCAGCGCTGCTTGCTCTGCCTTTGACTGCCCCTGTACTCTTGGGTAGCTATCCTGATGGCTGCTGTGTATAGTGAGCAAGCAGAAGTCATGTGCTTGTTCTGGGAATAGCTGTTTATGGCTCTGGGGGTCCTTCCCACCCCACAGGAATGCACCATGCCAATAGTCGATAAGCTGAAGGAGGCTCTCAAGCCTGGCCGCAAGGACTCAGCAGAGGATGGGGACCTGGGCAAGCTGCTGGCCGCCTCTGCCAAGAAGGTCCTTTTGCAGAGGATTGAATTCGAACCTGCCAGCAAGAGCTTCTCCTACCAGCTAGAGTCCTTGAAGAGCAAATACGTGCTGCTGAACTCCAGGGCCGAGGGAGCTAGTCGCCACAAGAGTGGAGATGAGCTGCAGGCCAGGAAACCAGGTACTGGGGTAGCCCTGAGTTGGCAGCTGGAGTAGTTTTGGGCTTCCAGGAGTCACTGGGCTATAGTAATAGATGTCATGATACAAGGTGAGTAGGAAGGATGTCTGTGTACTTGAACATCCCTTGAATGTGACCCCTTCTTTAATGAGGTCAGAAAGCAGGTCCTAGGGGCCAAGGAAACGGCTCAGCTAATGAAAGCATTATCTTTGTGAGTCTGCAACTCGAGCCAGCACAAATGGATTTGTGCTCCATTGTCCCTGTAACCCCAGCACACCTGCAGTGAGGTGGGAGGAGGAGACGAGAGGGTCACCAGGAAGCTCGTGGACAGCTAGCCTGGAGTGTGCACCCAGCAGAGAAAGAACAGCAGACACTGCCCCAGCCTGGTGGGAGGTGAAGAGCTGACTCCTAGAAGCTGTCCTCTGACCCCAACACACCGCCATCTTACTCTCATGTACACCCACACACAGTTAATTGGGGGGAAAAGGGTAGGGGTTGAAAATACAGAAGTAGGGTGGGTTCCTTAGTGCACAGTATGGCACAGAGCTAGGACCTGCTGCATCTTATCCACAGGGGCTTGACCTCTGGACTGAGCATGGAAGGGCCCCGGGATGACCTGGTCTCATCTTTTTCTCTTCTAGGCACTGAGCGTGTGTCTGGAAGTGGAGGTGATGGAGTCCCCGCCCCACAGAAAGTGCTCTTCCCTATGGAGAGACTGTCTCTAAGATGGGAGCGCGTTTTCCGTGTTGGTGCAGGGCTGCACAACCTGGGTAACACCTGCTTCCTGAACTCCACCATCCAGTGCTTGACCTACACACCACCTCTGGCCAACTACCTGCTCTCCAAAGAGCACGCACGGAGCTGTGAGTGGGGCTTACGGTGGGCTTTGCTGTGAGTCAGCTGAGCAGGCAGCCCCCTCACTTTAACACCAGCTAGACAAACCCCTGTGCTTGAGGGCCGTCCTTCTGTCTGTCTGACAGTTAAAGGGAAGCGAATAGAACATGGTGATTGACACAGCGAGGAGAATTTCACCTGCTCTAGGATGGGCCATGCATCAGTTTCACTCAGGCAGGGTCATGCTCTCTAGAGAGAATGGTTTTTAAACGATACCTCCATACAGTGTCTGTCCAACTGTCTTATGTACGTACGGAACCAATGTGTTTTATATACATTGCAAAACATACCCCAAAGCAGAAATTAAAACTGAGTGAAGTAGCTGGAGCAGTGAGACTTGCCAGAGCTAGCTCATGCTGTTTCCTCAGTAGCTCTTCTAGTGAACAGAAAGATGACACTCACAAGCTTATGCTGGGGGTTCTTAAACCTGGAGGGCAAAATCCAGGACAACATGAGAAAGAAAGATCGCCATCCTGCCTTACTAATGAACTGGTCTAAACTTGTCAGCTAAAACGAAAGCATCTGGGGCATCTGTAGAAATCCTCTGAGAAACTTGAGTTCATCCTGAGAGTGCAGGCCTTCTGTAGGGAAGCCTCCCACAGATGCTGTGGGCTCAGCATGCTGAGAGAGCCTCCCGCCTGTCTGTGCCCCAGTTCTGCTGCTAAACAGCTGTGTCTCTAGAATGTTCTATGACTTTCCTCTGCCTTCTGTCCCTGCTTTACAGAGTAATACTGACTTCCTACAGAATTTTAAGGATGGAATGAATTCTGTCAAAGGCTTGGTGTTACATCAGTTGGCATGGAGGATGTGCTATGAGTGTTCCTATCTAGGTGGTCAAGTGGTCACTCTATTAGTGAGTGAAAGGGGACCTGAACACATCGATGGCGATGACAGCAAAACCTCTTAGAGCAGTAAAGAAGGCCTTTCCCTCTGACAGGGCACAGAGAGCAGTGGAGCGCTAGTCTAGAGAGTGACCTTGTAAGTACATGCTGTGAGGTGCAATGGAGCGTGGCTGGCCGCATTACCACCTCTGTAAGACTGCTAGAAAAGGAGAGTGCTCAGCTGGGCCATGGTGGCGCTCACCTTTAATCCCAGCACAGGAGGGAGGCAGAGGCACACGGGGATCCCCGAGGCCAGCCTGAGCTACAGAGCTAGTTCTTGGACAGCCAGGGCTACACAGAGAACCCCTGTCTCAGGGGAAAAAAAGAAAAGAAAGAGAGAGAGACAGAGAGAGAGAAAGAGAAGTCATGGGCGGGAGGGTAAGGGTTAAACAGTTGAGAGTCAGTCTGGATCCTGAGGCAGAGTGGATGGGGGATGAGGAACGGTAGGAATGGTATTAATATGGCGTTGGGTTGCATGATGAGTTCAAGGACGTTCTGTTACTTAGAAGAGTGAGTGTGGCTGGGGTAGTGTCCTTGTCCGTCATGTGCGGGGTCTACGGTTTGATCTCAGGAGGGCTGGAGGTGCTGTAAGAGATTTTGGACTGTCATCTTGACCTCATGGTCTTGGCAGTAGGATCCTCCTACCCAAGCCTTACATAAGTGCTTTTTTCTGTTCTTTTCTTGTCCATTCTTTCCCTGTAGAGCTCTCCTCCATCTTTGATTGCTCCACAGGAGTCTTTTTGAGCCATTTGTCAACTTTGTGGGTTGATTTAGGTAAATGCTGTAACTGAATCCTGGTCACCTGGCACAGGTTAGCTGCAGTGTGGCATTGGCAGGCATGAAGTATCACAGCTGTGCTCTGTGTCCTCTGAGTGGGCCATTTGTCCTGTGAGCAGCACATGCCCACCCAGGAGCAGCCAGTGCTGTTGGTGAGGGTTAATACACTGGTCTCAGCTGCTGAGAGGGAAACTAATTGGTTTGGGTTGGATTTTGTGTAACAAGATTGGCTTGAAGCATCATGTTCAGGGGCTGTCTCAGAATTGAAGGTACGTCTGACAAGGCAGCTAGCAGCTAACCTGTGCCACGTAACCAAGATTCAGAGTTGTAACATCAGTCCTCACAAAGTTGACACACTCTTTTGATCCCAGAATTTATTTTCTAGGTGTGTTCCTTAGTGCCTAAGGAGATAAGTGACAGGTCCCTTCATTGCAGTAGTGGTAGGAGAAGTTAAAAGGTGGAATTAGGGTGGATAACATGGGAAGGCCTGTCTCTATTCATAGAATGTTCCATCTGTAGGGCAGGGGAAAGAACTGGGTGGGCAGCGTGGATGTTAGGAAAGCAAATTGCAGGTGTGTGGTGTAGCAGGAACGTCTCGGTGAGCCTGTTACCTCTGGCTGTGATGACATTGCGCGTGTGTGGCAGTGAGCACTCGGATTGGATCCGTCATGCCTAATTCAAGGTCCTGGTGCCTGTGGGTGAAGAATTGTGGGGAATTGGATTCTGATAATCAGTGTTTCACTTAACAGATGCCCAAAGCCAGTTGAAGCAGGGTGGGGTCATATTCTTTCTACATCTCTATTTAAAAAGTCACAGTTGTAAAGACAGGAATGTATCCTGTTCTAGTGTAGTGTCTAATGAGAAACCAGCCGGTTCGTATAGAGCAGGAGGCAGGCCATCTGGTCCGTGGCTTGCTAGTCACTAAGCTTCCGTTGGTTGAACTTCTCTAGGCTGTCATACATGGTCTGTGTTGCTTTTGCTCTGCATGTGGAATGACGTATCGTTAGGAGTTCTGGAATCACTCGCTCTAAAGTCGCTTCCTCCCCACTGCAGGCCACCAGGGGAGCTTCTGTATGCTGTGTGTCATGCAGAACCACATGGTCCAGGCCTTTGCCAACAGCGGCAATGCCATCAAGCCTGTTTCCTTCATCAGAGACCTGAAAAGTAAGAATGGATTTTTGGTTGAGTATCTGCGAAGCATTAGGTCTGTGGTTGGAGAAAGGAAGAGAAAAGCCGTGAATGACATCCCAGGGGTCCTTGTGTCTGGAAGGTTCTGTCCAGTGGTCAGACCCCAGCATGGTTGTCAGTGCAGACCCTGGGCTCAGGGTTTCACTGAAGGAAGCTTTCTGCTGGGCACTACTTGGAAGAGCAGTTAGGTTTTAGCCAGATGGAGAGCTGTGTTTGAAGTCAAGATGGGCAGGTGAGCATGAAAGCTGGGTGGGGGTGGCGGAGGAGATGCTGACGGACGGCACCAGAGGAGCCAGCTGCTGTGTGCTGTGGAGACCCTGCTTTCCGGTCACTTGGCAGAAAGGTTGTAGCACTATGACATGATGTTGGCTCTGGAGAAGTGGCCTCCGGCACTTGACCTAACACAGTCATCAACCTTCTGCATCCCTCTTCTTCCTCCAGAGATTGCCCGGCACTTCCGCTTTGGGAACCAAGAGGATGCGCATGAATTCCTGCGGTACACCATCGATGCCATGCAGAAGGCCTGCTTGAACGGTTATGCTAAGTATGTGCCGTGCCTTCCCACATGTCCTCCTGACTGAGGACCCTTCTTTATGCTGAGGGCAGCACGGCATTCTCGTGAACACAGCCAGCCTCCCTCTAGGCCATCCTCTAAGGAGGGTTTGTGTCGGTGCTCAGGCATCTGACTACCCGGTGCTCTAAAACCTGGGGGCTAAGATCTGCTGAGGGGAAGGGCTCTAGAAAATGTCTTCAGAAGTTCACCTGTAGCTGTGAACTCATCCAGCCTCTCTAACACCACTTCACGACTTTGACATAGAAAAGGAAATGAGGACACACACTGGGGGGGCCTCACACTTACAGAAGGAAGGTGGGGGTTCACACTTACAGAAGGATGGTGGGGGGTTCACACTTAGAAAGGTGTGGGCTCACACTTAGAGAAGGAAGGTGGGGTTCACACTTAGAGAAGGAAGGTGGGGGTTTACACTTAGAGAAGGAAGGTGGGGTTCACACAGAAGGAAGGTGGGACTCACACTTAGAGAAGGAAGGTGGGGTTCACACTTAGAGAAGGAAGGTGGGGTTCACACTTAGAGAAGGAAGGTGGGGTTCACACTTAGAGAAGGAAGGTGGGGTTCACACTTAGAGAAGGAAGGTGGGACTCACACTTAGAGAAGGTTAGGGCTCACACTTAGAGAAGGAAGGTGGGGGTTCACACTTAGAGAAGGAAGGTGGGGGTTCACACTTAGAGAAGGAAGGTGGGGGTTCACACTTAGAGAAGGAAGGTGGGGGTTCACACTTACAGAAGGAAGGTGGGGTTCACACTTAGAGAAGGAAGGTAGGGTTCACACTTAGAGAAGGAAGGTGGGGGCTCACACGTCTGTGAAAATGCAGAAGCATGTAGGAAAACACAGCATGTGAAAAGTTAGAATTCTGTTTGATGCTAGGTGGTTTTCTCTTTGGGTTTTGGTGTTTCAGTCAGGGCCTAACTGTGGCCTCACCTGCCTCATTTCCCAGAGCACGAGTCCAGAAGTGTGCGCCTCATGTGCACTGTTTTCCCACGTTGGAGTGTGGAACAGGGTCACTTCCCCAGCTGCTTGCCCTGTGCAGCAGGTACTCCATGTTGCTCGTTCAGAAAAGGCGGCGTTAGCTTAAGATCCCACCTGGTAACCGCATCCTTCTGGAATATCTGGAAGGTGACCTGGTGACGGAAGTGACTCTCCCTTTGACGTGCTGTTTGCTGTGATCTCTGGGGCTGCAGTTCCTGTTGCCGACTTGGCTTTGCAGGGTCTCTGGTTAGTTCTGTAACATTTTACCACAGTTCTGGTCTCTGGTGGTTTCCTGTCTGTAGGCCCAGGTCCAGTTTCACTTGGACAGGCCTCTTTATGCCATCTCCACCTTGGAAGACTGTTTCTTGATTGTTTCTTTCTGCATTTCAGTTCATGCTATTTCTTTTTCTTTCTTTCTTTCTTTTTTTGTTTTTTTTTTTTTTTTGGTTTTGGTTTTGATTTTGATTTTTTTGTAGACCAGGCAGGCTGGCCTTGAACTCAGTCAGAGGTCTGCCTGCCTCTGCCTCCTAAGTGCAGGGATTTTTTTTTTTCCTTCTTTGAGACAGGGTGTTGAGTAGCCCTTGAACTCTTGATCCTTTTGCCTCTGCCACCCAAGTGCTGAGATTATGGTGTGCGCCACCATGCCTTGGTGCCTTTTTTTTTTAAAGGATTTATTTATTTATTTTGGTTTTTCGAGACAGGGTTTCTCTGTGTAGTTTTGGAGCCTGTCCTGGATCTTGCTCTGTAGACCAGGCTAGCCTCGAACTCACAGAGATCAGCCTGGCTCTGCCTCCTGAGTGCTGGGATTAAAGGTGTGCGCCACCACCACCGGCTAGGATTTATTTTTATCATTTTTATATGTGTGTCTGTGGATGTGTGTCTGTGTGAGTGAATATCGTGTGTGTGGGTTTCCGTAGAGGCCAGAGGAGTGTGCCAGATCCACTGAAACTGGAGTTATAGGCAGTTGTAAGTCACAGGACATGGGTGCTGGGAACTGAACCAGGGTCCTCTGCAGGAGCAGTCCATCTCTCTTCATCACTGAGCCCTCCTCCAACCCCAAATGAGATCCATGTTTTAGCTTATTTTGTTTTTAGCGTGCGTTTGTTTATTTGAAGTTTTCTGTTCAGGATTCTTTTTTCTTTGTCTGTCTCGGGCTGTTTAGTTAAACTTAGACCTGGTTTTCACTCTTTCCTCTGTCCCTGGGGATGGTTTCACCTGATGGTGCCCCTTTCCGTTGGTTGCCGTTTTTTATGCAGAACGCCTGTGCATAGACTAAAGCTATCTATGATCCTTCACTCCAGAGCCCGTCTGCCCTTTGCCAACACGGGGCAGTGTGAAGCGCACCTTCTTGCATTGATGGCTTTTTCTGGAGTGGCATGTATGTCACTGCTCATAGTTTTGGACTTGGGGGCACATCCTAAGTGTCCCTTTTACCTTTCCCCATCTAGTGTCAAGATGCTTCTCTGTCCCTTTGCTTTTGCATGTTTTTGGAGCCTGCTGCCTCCACCTCCTGCAGTTCTCACAGCCCCTGTCCTTGGGCCGGGCTGGAGCTGCATCTGAGACTCTGCTCCAGCCTCTGAGCAGTAGCCGTGTGGGTTCTGACAGCTCTTGGGTTTCAGTGTACTCAAGGGCTGTGTACCTCCTAATGTGGGCAGTCCGTTGTCCCTTCTTTTGATTTATAGTGATGGTTCATATTTTTTCATTGCCTATCACTGCACAACAAAAATTTGTTCTCCAAATGTTTTGGTGATCAGTGTCTAAGAAGTTCTGAGTAAACCCTGGCACCATCATCCATTCAGAGGGCAGTGAACTGTGCAGCATGGGATATGACCGGGTGATGTCAGCCACAGGAGATGGCCTTGGGAGACCTCCACATGTAGTGCCACTCAGCGGCAGTGGCTGAGGATGCGACAGCTGGCCAGGAACAGGGGAGTCAGCAAGGGCTGGGAGCTGGCCACACCCTCCCATTGCTGTCTCTTCCATGAATACTCCAGGGCTGTAACTAGTGCAGGAGAGTGACTGTGGCAGGGTCAGCTAAGTAGAATGCTGAGGTGGAGGAACTGTGTCTTAGCCAGGCAAAGAAGGTGCTAGTCAGTGTGGCTTAGTGCTCGCTGCCCAGGTGTCTTGTTAGCAGTGTCAGGGAAGAAAGGGGGTAGGGTGGCCCTCCTCTGTCCAAGGCTCCTGCTCTCCTGTCCCTTCATGTGACAGCCAGTCAAGAGGCTTAGGATCCACAGCCCAGTGGAAGGCATGGCAAGGGCCAGTGCATGGGTCACGGGGCTGGACCTGCCTCCCAATCAAGGTTTGGGTCCTTCTATAGAGAGTGGAGAGCAGAGATGTTGTTGGGTGAAAACACTGAGGTGTTCTGTGCAGTGGTCAAGTGAAGTTGCCTGCTGAGATGGTTGTGAAGGTCGAAGGTGCTGTCGTGGGGGCCGGGCCCAAGTAGGTAGCGGTCCTGTGAGGAGGTAGGAAAGCTGCTGGGGGCTTAGGTAGGGTGACGGCATCTCACCGTCAGCTGATCTGGTGGTGACTGGAGCGGTGGGGATACTGGCTGTGAGGAGCATGCCTTGCTGTGCTGTACTGGACTGTGCTCTTCATGGCTGTGACTTTCTTTTAGATTGGATCGGCAGACACAGGCTACTACCCTGGTGCATCAGATCTTTGGAGGCTATCTCAGGTCCCGAGGTAAGCTGATGTGTTCTCCACCCTGGCTAAGAAGATCTGCACATTGAGCCAGGAAGTCCTCAGCATTCCAGACAGATGGGGCGTGCCCCAGCTGTGAGACTGTGGGCACGTGGGGGCTGGAGGTGGGTCCCAGGCCTTGTCTTTCTGCCTGGCCACCCTTGCCCACTGTAGGACTATCTCCTGAGGGAGCTGGAGAAGCACAGTGTGTGAAGTGATTATGGAACTAACTTTTCTTAGCTCTCCTCCGTCCTTGGGGTGAGGCCTGTGCTCTGCGGCAGAGAGCTTGCCCACTGGCCTGTGGTAGTGGCCAGGCAGCCAGGCAGGCAAGGCCTGATAAAAGAACCTGGCATGACCCATATCTGTGTCTCCAGTTAAGGGGATAGTCACATTTTGTGAGAGCTGAGTTGAATGTTCTAGACCTGTGGTTCTAGGTGTCTGGACCTGGGTGGTGCTCTCGTGGGTCACAGCTGCCCTCTGCCTCTGTGTTCTTTTGCAGTGAAGTGCTCTGTGTGCAAGAGCGTCTCAGACACATACGATCCCTACTTGGACATAGCCCTGGAGATTCGGGTATGCTTGGGCAGTGACCTGTGTTCCTGGGGGACAGCGAGAAGGGTGTGAGTCAGTGGGCGTGGATAAGGGGTGCTGGCTCCCCTGCGGCCCCTCTGCTGCACACAGCGCGGAGAAGTCAGCGTTTGTGATCTGTCTAGCCTTTTGCCTCTGCAAATTCTTTCCAGTTAAAGAGTAAAAGGTAAAACTGAGTTTTGTGTTCTGAGGCATCAACAGTGACAGTGCCTCACGCTGGGGCTTGAGGAGAGAATGAGTGTGACATTCTGGGGACATTATTCTCCTTTGATGTCAGCCTATCCTTGCCTTTGCTGGGACCTTGAGTTTCTGAGCCACCCCAGCTGCAGTCACAGTGAAAGTGCCTGACTCATGTAAAAGCTCTCACATGGCTGTCACCTGTCACCTCTAGAGGACACTGTCTGTTCCTTGCTCCTCTGGTGGGGGTGGGGTGGGTTAGCAAGGCCAATTTTTATGCAAGTCAGGTTTTATCACTTGCTGCCTCAGCCTGGCAAGCCCTTAAATCTGGGACTCTTGAGTCAGGCTTTTTCTTTTGCTGCTCATTCTGTTCCATTTCCGTCCTCCTCAGCAAGCTGCAAATATCGTGCGTGCTCTGGAACTTTTTGTGAAACCAGATGTCCTGAGCGGAGAGAACGCCTATATGTGTGCTAAGTAAGTGTCATTTGCTTGCAAGAAAGTGACCGTCCAGAACACTATCCATAGTGCCTGACCCTCCCTCAGGGATGTCTGCTGCTCACGTTTCCTGAGTGGCCTTCATCTGGCTCATGGACACGGTTCACCAACAGCCTGAGGCCCGTAGCTGCTGCTCACCTAGCGCCTGCCTTTGTGACAGGCTCCACATGTATTAGCATGCTGAAGAGCAGTGTGGTGTTTTCTCTGTTGTCTGCGGTGGAAACTGCGTCATAGAGAGGCAGAGGGTCTGACCGTAGTCCCCCTCAAAGGATGCAGTGGAGAACCCTCTACCCCACTGTTCTGCATCTTAAATGAGACCTGTGTGTAGCTCCTGCTTGTAGGGGTCCAGTCATCTTTCTGTCTCAGCACAGACAGTTGTCCTTATGAGGCACATCCTGGGGGTGTTGGCCTGGGGGTCACTTTAAAGCTGTGGCCACCAAAAGTACCTTCACCACGTTTTTCAGGTTTCTCCTGTCACAGCACTGTTTTGTTTTGTTTTTGGTTTTTTGGTTTTTTGTTTTGTTTTTTTGTTTGTTTGTTTTTTGTTTTGTTTTGAGGCAGGATCTCACTATGTAGTCCTGACTGGCTTCACACTCATAGATCCACCTGCTCTACCTCCTGAGTCCTGGAATTAAAGGCCAGCAACACTGCATTGGGCTTTTGTTTTGTTTTGAGACTGGGTCTCACCATGTAGCTCTGGCTGTCCTGGAACTCGCTCTGTAGACCAGGCTGGCCTCATTCACAGAGATCCTCCTGCCTCTGCCTCCTGAGTGCTGGGAATTGAAGTCATGCAGCACCATGCCCAGCTACGTTGGGCTTTGGGGTTTTTTGCTTCTATCCCTCTTTAAATTTGCTTCCCCTGGCTTGGGATGAGATTGTCTTTCATCTCAGTTTCCTGCCCATTTCTCATCGGGCTCTTTTGTGCTTCCCCCTCCTGTGGCCACATCGACACTGTGTGTTCTTCCCTGGGTTACACAAAGTCTTTTGCACCCATCACTTAGGCTTCTGGTTGAGGAGGTCTTCTTGCTTTGGGGCTTCTGATGGTCCAGCTCAGGGCATGTGGGTTTTGGTTTCAGATGCCTGTTGGCACAGGCCTTCGATAACTCGGCAGCAGGACAGCTGCCGAGCACACCAGTGGCTTTTCCATTCCCTCCTGTAGGTGTAAGAAGAAGGTTCCAGCCAGCAAGCGCTTCACCATCCACAGAACATCCAATGTCCTAACTCTGTCCCTCAAGCGCTTTGCCAACTTCAGCGGGGGGAAGATCACCAAGGTGAGTGCACCACCTGCTGACATCCGGGCTGCTCATCACAGGAGTAGGCCTTGGGAATCTGCATTTCTTTCTTTTAAAATTGTTTTATTTTGCTGGGCAGTGGTGGCGCACACTTTTAATCCCAGCACTCAGGAAGCAGAGCCAGGTGGATCTCTGAGTTCGAGGCCAGCCTGGTCTACAGAGTGAGTTCCAGGAAAGGCTCCAAAGCTACACGGAGAAACCCTGTCTCAAAAAACAAAACAAAACAAAAAAAAAAGTTTTTTATTTTATGTGTATGAGTGCTTTGCCTCCATGTTTAATCTGTGCATCGTTTTTTTTTTTTTTTGTTTGTTTGTTTTTTTGGTTTTTCGAGACAGGGTTTCTCTGTGTAGCTTTGCGCCTTTCCTGGATCTCGCTTTGTAGACCAGTCTGGCCTCGAACTCACAGAGATCCACCTGCCTCTGCCTCCCGAGTGCTGGGATTAAAGGCGTGCGCCACCACCGCCCGGCCTGTGCATCGTTTGTAAGCCTGGTGTCCTCAGAGGCCAGAAGGAGGTGTTAGATCCCCCTGGAAATGTAGTTACAGATGTTTGTGAGCTGCATGTGGTTGCTGGGAATTGAACCTGAGTCCTCTGCCAGAACAGCCAGTGCTCTTAACTGCTGAGCCATCTCTCCAGTCCCCCCCCCCCCTTTTTTTTTGAGACAGTCTTTCTTTGTAGCCCTGGCTGTCCTCAAACTCAGATCCTCATGCCTCTGCCTCCCAAGTTCTGGGGTTAAAGGTGTGCTCCACCACTGCCTGGCTATAGAAGCTCTATCAAATCTTGAATCTCTAAGAGGATTTATTACAAGAAATTGTCTAGGACTGATGAGATGGTCCAGTGTGTAAAGGCACCAACCACCAAGCCTGATGACCTGGGCTTGATTCCTGGGACCTACTTGGTATAAAGAGAGAACTGACTCCTGAAACTTGTCTTCTGGCTCCACACGAGGGCTGTACCATATACATACCCATATAGAGAAATGTAATGAAAGAACTAAACACAACGCTCTTGAGCTGGACAGTGCAGACACGGTGGGTGGGTTAGTGCTGCCGCGGCGTCCTGAGGAGCTGAGGTTTCCTGTGAGCCCTTGGCAGGACTTCAGAGGACTCCAGTCTGTGAACCATTAGTTCTGTTTGGATCCGAAGACTCTGCATTATAACAAAGTTGGGTCAGGCCGTGAACCCATTGTGTATATATTGGCTTATGAGATTTTGTCATAGAAAGACATAGAAAAAGCTGGGTCAGGTGACACATGCCTGTAATCCCAGCACCTGGGAGATGGAGATGGAGGAGTTACGAGATCATGGCCAGCCTGACATAGTGCGTTGGAGTCTGTCCTAAGGCACATAGTGAAGATTGGTCAAAGCAAACATTTCGTGGATGTAAATGACCCTTATTCTCCTGAGGGAGTGTTACTTGCTTTCCTTTTTAAATAGGATGTTGGCTATCCTGAGTTCCTGAACATCCGCCCATACATGTCGCAGAGCAGTGGTGACCCTGTCATGTATGGGCTCTATGCTGTCCTGGTGCACTCAGGCTATAGCTGCCACGCTGGGCACTACTACTGCTATGTGAAGGTGAGTGTTGACCTGACTGCTGAGCTCATCTGTGGTGGCAGGTGAGCTTGTGCTGCCTTTGGTGCAAGTGGCCAGTGCCCATAAAATCTAAATGAGGCCACTGGACTTTTTGTTTTGTGTTTTTTTTGGTAAACAGCAGTGCTTTGCATTTGTGTTTTGTTCCTCCTTTCCATGAATGTATAGAAAAGATGTGTTTTATACCCTGGTCCTGGGGCCAGCAAAATATCTCAGCAGGTTAAAAATGCTCACCACCAACCTCACCACCCAAGTTCATCCCAGGGACCCACAAAGTGCGAGAGCAGACCTAACTCCATTAAGTTGTCCTCTGACCTCCACACTTGAATTGTGGCACGTGCACTTGCCGTCCCCCCAGTAAATAAGTAAATAAATGTAAATTTTAGGAGTTTTTTAAGACCCACTAATGGATATGGTAAACAATGCCTTTGTAATTCCAGTATTCTGGAAGGTTGAGACTTTAAGCTCAGCTGAAAACACTTAGTGCGCCTCTGTCTCAGAATCGAAGAGAAGTGTGGCTTGTGGCCCATCTGTTGATTGCTGTTTCCTGTAACCATCCCCTCCCCTTGCTGCTCAGGCTAGCAATGGACAGTGGTACCAGATGAACGACTCGTTGGTCCATTCCAGCAACGTCAAGGTGGTTCTGAACCAGCAGGCCTATGTGCTCTTCTACCTGCGGTGAGGACCCCCACCCTCCCTAGAATTGCCGTGCCCTAGAGCACGTTCTGCGTGAGCCAGGGCTGCTCCACAGCCCTTTCCTGTACATAAGCTCCTGGGGTTTGCTGGAGGGGAGATACTTGAGCAGACCATCCCCAGGCACATGTAAGGAGCTTGTGTCCTGGGAAGGACCTTTCAGCCGAGCCTCCTGGGAGGTGGGGGAAGGCTGGATGGCAGTGAGGGAGGGCTCTGACAGCCTACAGCATTGGGTAGGTGATTGTTACTTATGCTGTTGCCTTAATGAGGCCTTTGCCTTAGTGTGGCAGTAGCCTGGACAACTTCCTCTGGTGAAGTGACCCATTTCACATTGGGGATGGGCATGCAGCAGATCTTAGGAAGCCACCAGGAGACTGACTGTCCCTGGGGTGTTCTTGTCACTTGGTGCCACCCTGCCGAGTCTGGGTGGCAGATTTGGGGCTCTTTGGTTTTCTGGCTCCTTGAGGATCTGCTCTAGAAGGGCTCTGTGCACTCACATGTGGATGTCCAAGGCTTCTGTCCAGCCTTTAGGATGTAGAGGGCAAGGCAGGTTCCTGAAAGCCTGTTGGAACCCAGGGCCTCTGGTGCTCTTCTTTGCATTCTTCTTGGCACAGGTGGGGAAATCCCCATCCCTTTCTTTCTTATGCAGAATTCCAGGCTCTAAGAAAAGTCCTGAGGGCCCTGTCTCCAGGGTGGCTTCCACTCTTCCCAGTCGTCCCAGTGTCATTCCAGATCACCCCAAGAAGAGCCCTGGCAATGGGGTCGTCTCCTCCCCGCTGATGGCAAAGGTACTGTGTAAGTGGAAGAGCCGGCTTGGCTGCCCTGCTCGCTCCTGCTTTGAACATTTCAGAGGTCCAGGGGTCTCCTCTGGGGGACCTTGCCATGGTGGGAGGAACCTGTAGGCTGTGGCACTGTACCAGCCATATTATTCCTTAAGTTGGTTACCAGCTGCCTTGGGAAGGGAAAAAATGGGAATGTAGGGCTCAGCTGCTGCCCAGGAGTGCCAGGGAACCACTGTGTTTTCTGTTAATGCCCGTGTCCTGGGTTTAGTCATGACCTTGTGTTTCTTTACAGTTCTTTGGTGCTAGATACAGACATACCTGTGGGTAAAAGGAGGCAATGTCTGCAGTTTCTTCAAATGGTTCAGAGTAGAAACAGATATGTTTATATACACACAGACATATACCCACATACATACACAGCAGTAAAACTTAGTCATCTGTGGACTTCTGGATTTTAACCCACATGATTTAACTACAGAATTGTGGAAGTCATTGCAGCCCTTTGGGAAGCTGGCAGCCTCACTTGCAGGTGTGCCCCTGGTTGAAGGAAGCAGACCTGGGCATGCAGAAGCAATGGCAGTACAGCTGTGAGGGCAAGGCTGCTTTACCTGCATGATCCAGGTCAGCACACACCTTCCTATACTGCACATTTGGAAAGCTGCCTTTCAGGGAAGAGACCAGGTAGCCCAGGCAGGCCTTGGATTTAAAGTGATCCTTCTGCCTCTGCCTTCTGGGTGCTGGGAATATGGGGATTATAGACGTGAGCTGTCACACCCAGCATCATTTCACTTTCAGTGAGTCCGGGCAGATGTAATGTTCAACAGATGACTAGGGTTTTTTTGTTTGTTTGTTTGTTTTGTTTTGTATTTTTTTCGAGACAGGGTTTCTCTGTGTAGCTTTGTGCCTTTCCTGGAACTCACTTGGTAGCCCAGGCTGGCCTCGAACTCACAGAGATCCGCCTGGCTCTGCCTCCCGAGTGCTGGGATTAAAGGCGTGCGCCACCACCGCCCGGCCAGATGACTAGGTTTTGCAGAGAGAGAAAGAGATGTGTTCTTGTCAGGAAACAGTTTGTAAAAGTATTATAAAAATTATTATTATAAAATGTAAGCCAAAAACTCAGAAGAAAGTTGAAGTAATTAAACTTCTGAAAGAAAGAAGGCTTTTTAACTTTTGAATTGGTAGGAAAAGTAGCAATTGGCTAAAGTAAAATGTAAACATTTTTAGGTAAAATAAAATAAATATAAAATAAAATAAAATTGCCCGGTGGTGGCTCACACCTTTAATCTCAGCACTAGGAGGCAGAGGCAGGCAGATCTCTGAGTCTGAGGCCAGTCTGGTCTACAGATAGAGATCTGGGACAAGTAATACAGAGAAACGGTTACACAGAGAAACCCTCTCTCAAAAAATTGAAACAAAAAACAAAAACAGTAAAATTTTAAAAATGTTCGCAAAGCAGGACTGGGAGGGTGTCACTCAGTGACAGTATGTATTGGCTTGTGTGAGGCCCCAGGCTCCAGCACCAGTACTCGCCCCCCCACCACACACACACACACACACACACACACACACACTCACACACACACAGAACTGTAGCAGACGCAGGAAGCTCGTGTTTGCAGCAATTGCTGTGGAGGTAGGGATGGTGGAGTGGTGAGAGCCAGGGTGCCTGGTCAGTGTGTGGAAACACGCATACATGGCCAGTAAAGAGGAAACTCAGTTTGACCCCGTGTGTTGACGGTCACGAACGAGGTGATCCATGGCCCAGGAATCCCATCTCTGCGTGGCTGCTGGGTACAGAAAAGGCTTCAATCTGTTGATTTTTTTTTTTTTTTTTTTTAATGTACTGTGTGTGAGGCCTTGCATTAGCTGTGAGGACTTTGGTGACCGAGGAAAGAGACGCAGGTAGGTGTGTGCTCAAGCAGGAGGTGGCCACCATGAAAGATTTACAAACAGTGGATTGCTCTCATATAATCTTGGTCTTAGGATTTTTTTTATTTCATAGTTAATGCATATCAAAAAGCAGATTTTGACTTTGTTTAGCTCTTCAACCAAGGGTAGTGAAAGAAACCCCCTTTGGAAGCGTGCTGTGGTACATTGTGGGCCTCAGTTTTTTGAAATGGGCAGACTAAGAGGTACCAGAAGAAAATGGCTCCCCCTTTTTTTTTTTTTTTTTTTTTTTTGGTTTTTCGAGACAGGGTTTCTCTTGTATAGCTTTGCGCCTGTCCTGGAACTCACTTGGTAGCCCAGGCTGGCCTCGAACTCACAGAGATCCGCCTGGCTCTGCCTCCCGAGTGCTGGGATTAAAGGCGTGCGCCACCACCGCCCGGCTGGCTCCCTTTTTTAAAGATTTATTTTTATTTCTGTGTATGAGTGTTTTGCCTGCATGTATATCTGTACACCATGTACATGCAGTACCCACAGAGGCCAGAAGAATGTGTTGCATTCCTTAGAACTGGTGTATGCTGGGAATTGAACCAAGGTCTAAAAGAGCACCAGTGCTCTTAACCACTGGGCCATCTCTCCAGCCCCTCAAAATTGCCCCCATTGACTTACAGGAATTTTAGATTGACCTCTTGGACTTTTTAAAATGGCTTCTAAACTATCAAATGTTTTGTTCATTTGTTTGTATGTTGTAGTCATGGCATAGGAAATAATGCAAGCATATGTAAGCCATCAAGAGATGCAGAGCTGCCAGTGAGACACTGAGGCCTTTGAGGGCATACCCTGTGAGGACGGTTTAGCTTGTGGCACAATGATGAAACAGGTGCAGAGGAGACCCCGTGAACGGTGTTTACATGATGGGCTTTGAACCGTTCTCTCCCCGTGTGTTCTCTCAAATGTTGGTGAAACCCTGTTGCTGTTATAGTGAGGACAGTCACACAGTGCGGCCTGTTTTGTATACAAGTCCTGAAGCACTGAAAATCTCTACCATTACCCAGAACCCAGCTTGCTCCCAGAAGCTGCCCTGATTGGGATGCATGCTTTGGCTTGACGGTGATCCCTGCTCAGTGCTTCGTGGGGCTCTGATGGCTTTCTTTCTTGCTCTTCCTTAGCTTCAAGACTCTGTGATGATGAGAAAGCTGCAGAGCCCTGAGGAGATTGGTGTGCCTGTGTCCAGGAATGGCTCTGTGCCAGGCCTGAAGTTACAGAATGGATGTGTTCCGGCAAAGGCACCTGCCGGGTCCCCTTCCCCAAGACTCACCCCAACACCCACACACATGCCTACCATTCTAGATGAGCCTGGAAAGAAGGTGAAGAAATCAGCTCCCCCGCAGTCCCTCACCGCATCCCCTACCACTTCTCAGGGCTCTCCGGGGACCAGCGAATCCAGGAGCCAGCGGCCTGGCTCCTGGTCAAGCAGGGACACCATCTTCTCTACCTCACCAAAGCTCCTGGCCAAAGCCTTTGCTAATGGGCACAGGCTGAAGGGGGAAGGCAATGGTGTGGACCTGGAGAAGGGGGCTTCGAGCGGCTCGAGCCCTGAGCACTCTGCCAGCAGTGACCCTGTCAAGGCCCCACAGACCCCAGAGGGCAGAGCTACACATTTCTGTGATTCTCAGGAAACAGACTGTCCCACCGCTGGCCATTCCAAAGCACTGCTGAATGGAGTAGACTCCAAGATAGTGAAGCAGAAGTCCCCCGCCCTGAGTAGCACCGCCACCGAGCCCACGAGCCTCATGTCTCCTCCACCAGCCAAAAAACTGGCCCTGTCTGCCAAGAAGGTGGGTCTGGGGGGGTCTCCTCTCTGGAGGTGCCTTGGGACTTGATGTGAGGATAGGGAGATAGGAAATTACGAAGGAGTGTGGCCTCCTTTACTCCTGTAGTCCAGAGGACCAGAGTGCCGATTGGTATTCCCAGCAATGTGACAGTTGAAAGGGCTGTTTGGGGTGGAGGTGGTAGGTCTTGAGGGTATACCAGTTATTCAGAACCTCAGGTTACTGGTGGAGTGTAGGCTAAGAGTACTAACCAGCTGTCTATAAATGGGTCTGCTAGTTGAGTCGCAGAGGAAGACCTGTGGGCCAGCAGGCTGCTGGGGGGGAAGGACAGCTGACGGGGGCACAGAGAGGGACACGTGGGGCTGGGAGGAGTTTCCCACTCAGAGCTGTGTGGGCAGAGAGTGATATGTGGGAACTGTGCTGGGATACTTGTTTAAATGTCCTTCCTTTTTCCTTTTTATTTCTAACCAACAACACTCTCTGGTTCTTCTTCTGCCATCCCCTCTCTCCCCCTCCCCCTCCCTGTTTTTTTCTTCTGTCCCTTTATTCATCTTTCTGGGCTCTTTTATTTTTATTTTTATTTATTTTCAATTTTGTTTTCCCTCTTCACTCACGGAAACCTTTTTTAGACCACCAAGTTTTTATTTATGTCAATAACTGCAGGCCAACACCCTGCGGAGGGCGACCGGCAATGACATCTGTTCACCTCCCCCCTCAGCACTCTCCGACCTCACCTACCCCATGAAAGCCACCCACCCCGTCGTTGCCTCCACTCGGCCTGTCAGTAAAGCCAGGTGAGCTTGGGCAGAGGCCCCTGGGTGCGACTCCTTCCCTCCTGTGGTTACGTGTACTTGGCTGGTGAAGAGCCATGGGTCATCGAGGACAGAGGCCCTCTTGTCCACCCCTGTCTGGTAAAAGAACCTCAGTTGGTCAGAGTTGGTTTAGTCTTCCGGGTCCCAAGTCTTGAGTTTTCAGCTGCCTGCCACAGAGTGTTGTAACCTGAAGTGCTGTGCACTGTCCTGACTTGTGCCCACTCGAGAAGTCAAACCCCATGTGAGTCCAGAAGCACGGGAACCCCGCAGGGACAGCTTTCCTGCAGGGTCATGACTTGGTCTCCAACAGTGCCTCCATTGCCTTAGCCCTCCCTGTAAGGCATCCCGAGTCTCCCGGCTGCCGGCCGCATGCCAGGCCTGCAGCAGGGAGACTGGGTTCTCAAGTGCTGTAGAATTCTTCAGGGCCCTTTAATCTCATCCGTGGATGACCTTCCCGATCCAGTGAGGTGCTGGAACACATGATGTTTGTGTCCCTTAGAGTGCTGAGTGCAGGATAGGAAGATACATGGTTGTCTGGGTTCACAGGGACCAGATGCCTCGGCAGCTGGGAGACAAGGATGGAGAGAGGGCAAGAGTGAGGTTCTGTGACACTGCTGGGCTCCTCCAGTCCCGGGATGCTGTGAGGGTGACGTCTCTGTTGCTGCCACCACCCCAAACATGAGCGTGCATACGTCCTGTCTCCAGCATGACATTTTTGGTGTGTTCTTAAATGTTAAGGTTCCCAAATGTTGAGACACTGGGGGGAGTTGTTCATGTTTTTGTTGGAGACGGGGTCTTACTTTATAGACCAGGCTGGCCTCAGACTCAGATCCTCCTCCATCTGCCTCCCGAGTGCTGGGGCTAAGCTGTGTGCCACCACCCTTGGCACAGACGCTTTTGTCTTAATTACTTTAGGTTTATGTGTATGAGTGTCTTGCCTACGTGTGTATCTGTGCACCATGTGTGTGCCTGGTGCCGACAGGTCAGAAGAGGGGACCTGGCGTTACAGGGGAATGTGAGCAATGTGGGTGCTAGAAATGACCCACCAGAGCAGCAAGTGCTCCCCACTGCTGGGCCACCTCCCAGCCCCATGGAGGTGTGTCTTAAAGCTCTGGCAGACACTTAGAGTCACATTAGTCCGGGCGGCACTGCCAGTCTGTCCTAGTTTGGATGATGGCGAATACAGTCTCCGTGAATCCACTAAACCTTTGTGGGTCCCACAGGCACGACTCACCTGCTCAGCCCTGCCTTACTTCTCTTAGAATAGTCTCCTCTGTGAAAGTGGGTTCCCAGACTCCACCCCGAATTCAGAGGAACGTAACCGCGGATGGTGCATGGCTTGTTGGGCTGTTCTTGAAATGCTCAGTCCCCAGGGGGAACCGTGATAGCCTCTGGAAGATAAATCTGGATAGGACGTCTTGTTCATTTCACCTCCTCACACATTCCAGTTGAAAATTTGAAACATTGGGATTTGGTTCCTTCCTTTTGCTTTTAGTTTTTGTTGTTTGAAGGGAGGGTGTTGGGTTTTGGTTTTGAGACAGGGTTTTACTTTTATAGCCCTGGCTGGCCAGGAACTCTTCCGTTTCTGTCTCCCAGGTGCTGTCTGAGGCCTCTGTGGGATGCCCAGTGGGTTGGCTTGTTTTGTTGTCGCCCTTGGCTCTGTGCTGGAGGATGACCTTGAACTTCTGATCCTCCAGCCTCTATGTCCTAAGTTCTGGGATCACAAGCAAGTGTTAACACTTTTTATTGTTTGTCAGTCTGTGTAAGGACAGGCTATCAAGTGGTACAGGCTGGTCTTCAACTTACTTAGTAAATGCTGGCCTTGGATGCCTGATCTTCTTGCCTCCACCTCCTAAGTGCTGTGATTGCAGGTATGTACCACCATGCCTGAATAAAAAAAAATAGAATTTATAATACTCAGATCAGTGCTGGGCATGTAGCCCAGTGGTACAGTGCTTGCTCAGCATGCCCAAGGTTCTTGGTTCAACTTTCAGCACTACAAAAAAAAAAAAAAAAAAAAAAAAAAAAAAAAAATGCTTTGTAACAAACTGAGACTTGTATTGCTTTTATTAACTCTGATTTTTGGTAAACTGAATTTTCTTAGCCTGTCTTCAAAAACCATGGAATTTGTGTATCTAAGAATTACAGAGACAAAATAACCTTTTAAAATTCTAGGGTGAGTTGGGCATGGTGGCACTCACCCAGGCACTCAGGAGGCAGAGGCAAATGTATCTCTGTGAGTTCAAGGCCAGCCTAAGTTTCATAGGGAGGCCTCATCTCCCTAAACTCTTTTTTTGTTTTGTTTTTGTTTTTGTTTTTCGAGACAGGATTTCTCCGTGTAGTTTTGGTGCCTGTCCTGGATCTCACTCTGTAGACCAGGCTGGCCTCGAACTCACAGAGATCCACCTGGCTCTGCCTCCCGAGTGCTGGGATTAAAGGCGTGCACCACCACCGCCCGGCTCCCCCCAAATTCTTACGGTGTAAAGGGAGGTGGAGTGGGGGTTGGTGGAAGAATGACTTGTACAGATCTTCTACAGTGACTCTCCCTGTACTCACTGTCTACAGGGCTGTTGCACCTGCTCCCCGACCATCTACCCTCCTGAAGCATTCCATCCACCCCCACTCTGCATCACTGTCCAGTAGTAGCGCCAAGCCCTTAGGGACATCAGAGCCACAGAGCTGCCGCGCCTCTGCCTGGATGCCCCTGCCTCAGGTCAATGGGCACTTCTTGTCCCACTTACACCAGCTGCCAGAGGCCAGCGAGGCCCCGCACAGCCCCTCCAGAAAAAGGAAAAAGACCCTTAATGGAGATCCCCAGAGACTGGGCATAGATACACACCTCCCACAGTGCCTTGGGGGTGCACCTGCAGCAGCACGCAGGAAGAGGAAGAAGAAGAAGTGCCTAGAGGATGAGGCTGCCACAGCTCCCCAGCAGGAAGGCCAGTCTCAGGACCAGCCTTGGAGTCCCAGGGGCCGGAAGGAAGAGGGTACACATCCCCAGGTAAATGGCCATCAAGTGAATCACGTCCTGGATAGTCACCATGTGAGCAGCAAGAAAAGGAGGAAGAGGAAGAGATCAGAGGGACTTAGCCAGGAAGCCACCCCGTCCCAGAACCTGCTACAGCATGGGTAAGAGCATGGTTGGGATGTACCCATAGCCTTCCTAGGTGGTGTGGGCTAACAATATAGCGCTGGCCTTGACATGGGGTGGAATGTGCCCTGTGTCCGTTTATGCCAGTTCCCTTAGGGGTGGAAGAGGACAGCCACATCTAGGCCATGGCTATCGCTGTGCATAAGAACAGCCAAGAACAGCGGGTCAGGTGGCCCCAGTCCAGGCTCTGTCTTTAGATGAGGTTGCAGCAACATCCTATGGATGCAGTGTACATGCCCCGACAGAGCCAGAGGGACCGTGTGTCATCTTTAGCATCATGCTGACCGTGGCTGTAGACAGCAAGCCTCACACAGCACAGCCCACTCCTCAGCTCTGTGGAGTGAATCGCCACCATTCACACAGCACTGCCGGCAGTCTTAGGAGTGTTGTGGGGGAGCTCGGTTTTTTATTTATTTGTTTTATGTGTGTTGATGTGGGGGTGTCAGGTCCCCTAGAACTGGAGTTACAGGTGGTTATGAGCTGCCATGTGGATGCTGGGAATTGAACCCGAGTCCTCTGGAAAAGCAGTCAGTGCTCTTGAACGCTGAGCCATCTCTCCATCCCTGCTTTAGTTTCTTTCCAAGTTCTTTTATCTCCCCCTCTTAATGTGTGTGTGTGTGTGTGTGTGTGTGTGTGTGTGTGTGTGTGTGTGTGTGCGTGTGTGTGTGTGTGTGTGTGTGTGTGTACATGCTTGCATGTGGAGGTCAGAGGACAACTTGCAGGTGTTCATTCTCTCCTTCCACCATGTAGGTTCTGGGGATCAAACTCAAGTTGTCAGCTTTGATGGCAAGCATATTTACCCACAACTTTTTTTAAACATTATATTTGTTTACCCGTGTGCATGTGAGCATGTTTGCACACCATGACACATGTGTAGTGGGCAACTTGAGGGAGTAGGGATCCAGTCCAGGTCGGTAGGCTTGGTGCCAAGTGCCATTCACAGCTGAGCTGTCTCCCAGACTCGGGGGGAGCTTTCTGCAGAGTTCGAGTGGAGCTGTGGTGCCATCGAGGAGCGAGTACCGCTCTTGTCTGCGGGTGTACCTGGAGGGCTGACTGGCCGCTCTCGCTCCCTCAGCTGCTCCCCTGCAGACCACTGTGAGCCTGAGACCAGGACAGAGTTGCAGAGGAAGATGAAAAGGCGAAAAAGGAAACGTGAGTCACAGCAGGAGGAGGAGGAAAGCAAGCACCCAGCAGGCCAGAGGAGCCCAAGGCCCAGCGTCACCCCAGGCCCTGAGCTGAGCGTGAATGGCCATCTTTCTGGTGACCGCCTAGGTGAGGACTCCTGCTGATAGCCACCGAGGTGACAACTTACTGTTCCTCATTGCAGGCTACTGGGAGCAGTAACCGCATGGCAACTTTCTGTCACTAGCTAATACCTGAGACAGTCGTCTTAGAGAAAAAGCATGGCTGGGCATAGTGCCTGAGCGGATAATCCAAGAGCTTGCGAGGGAGGCAGGCAGAGCTCTAGTCTGGACTCCGTGCCCCGTGCAGTTCTGGGCCTCTGGTGCAGCTTGTCACAGTGGCACATGGCAGAGCAAAACTGCTCACTATGGTCAGGAAGCCAGAGAGAGGGAAAGGGTGGCTGTGGTCCTACTCTTCCCAGGGAGGGCAAGCCAGTGACCTGAACACCTCTAGCAGCACCTTCTAGGGTCCAGGCCTCTAGGGCATGGGCCTGTGGGGGACTTTAAGGTCTCCTCGGCAGCAGGCCCTTTGTGGCTGGCTAGGTAGCTTCCACTTAGAGCTAGTCCCCTTCTTCTGTCAGACAGAGGATGGGGTCTCGTGCTGGCTTTTGTTGTTTTGGACAGTGGAGTAGGGTCATCACTGGGAAGGGAGCAGTTTGGCAGCTAGTCCTGTGGTGCCGTTATAAGGACGTGTGGTTGTCTCTTCAGTGATTCGGTTTCAGTGTGTCTTCTGATTACAGGGCTGGGACAAGCGCCTCTCATTACCTGGAACAGAGATCGAGAACCTGATGTGGTCCAAGAGTTGCTCCAGGACTCATCTGATAAGGCTTATGGGAAAAAAGGTATGGACAGATCTGAGGCAGGGCTTTGCTTCCTAGGGACTGATTCATTTGGGTTGGGGTCGGGGGAGGGTTCTGGTGTGCTGATATGTGGTAGACACGCTGCTCAGATTTATAGAACTTAAACAGTTATTGACTATGTTTAACCTGACCCCTGCTGGGGCACAAAGGCAGATTCTGTTCATGGATCCCAAAGATCTGAGGCCCAAGAGCAGGACAAAGTGGGAAGCATAAACCCTGGGCCCAGAACATCCCGGTCCCCAGTTCAGAAGGCCAAGGGGATGAAACCCTCTAGTTCTAGTGTTGGCAGTCCTGACTTTGGCGCATGAACAAGAGACTCTTTTTCTGAAGTGAGAGCACAGGTTACAGGGAGGAAGTTTACAGTTGGAATTGGAGCTCACACTGATCACACCCTCCTCCCCTTTCATGTGCCTTCTGTTAAAAGGCAGTCAGAACCTGGGGTGGTTAGAGTAGATGGGCCTTGGTGGTAAATGAGTCCTGAGGAGAGTCTGCAGGGTGACTGGGACCCATGGGCACTGACGGAACCTGTCTTGTACAGTTTTGACCTGGGATGGCGAGGTTTCAGCTGTCAGTCAGGATGCTATCAAAGACAGCAGATTGGCCCGGACCCAGACCGTGCTTGACGACTGGGATGAAGAGTTTGATCGAGGGAAGGTATGGCATGCGGCTCTGACCATAGGCTTGGGGCAGCTTGAATGTTGAGAGCGGTCTGTGGTGCAGGTGTGCACAGAGCAGTCAGGCCAGGTGGAGTCAGCCTCCTGGGTCCCCTCTCGCTGGGATGTTTCTCCCGTGCATCCCGTACCCTGGCAGGTGTGGGTCTCTTCCACCTATCTGTTCCTCAGGAAGGTGGGGGCGGCAGGAGCCTCCCTCAGAGGGCACTGTCCATGGGCGGTAACAGCACCTGTGTCTAGGAGGCATATGCCATGTATGCAGCGAGAACCCTCCAAGGCTTGGGGGAGCCTCTCTGGGAACTGACACTGTGCTTCTTAATGTAGGAAAAGAAAATTAAAAAGTTCAAGAGAGAAAAGAAGAGAAACTTCAATGCTTTCCAGAAGCTTCAGAGTAGACGGAACTTTTGGTCTGTGACTCACCCTGCTAAGGTTGCCAGCCTCAGCTATCGCCGCTGAGCTTACTGCACTTGTTAGAGGTCAGCTTGGGTGTGTGTCTGTCTGCTGTGTGTATGTCTATGTGTTTGGTGTGTGTGTAGCATGTGTAGTCTCTGGTGTATGGTCTGTGGTGTATGTGTTTATCTGTGGTGTTTGTCTTATGTATCTGTGGTGTGAGTATGGTATATATATGTCTGTGGTATGTGTGTCTGGTATGTGTGTGGCACATGTGGCCTGTGGTATGTATGGTGTCTGTGACCATTTGGTATATGTGTTCTGTCTGGTGTGTGTTTGTGGTGTGTGTGTTTGGTAAATGTATTGCGTTGTCTGGTGCATAAGTTAATGATGTGTGTGTCTTGGGTCTGTTTGTAGGTGTGACTGACAGTGTCTTTTGAAGGACCCAGGGGTGTCATAGGATTGTCATGGTTTCTCTTCTCACCAGGAAGACCAGTATGCCTGGGCCACTGCATCCCAGAGCTGCCACATCACACCCTGGGGACTGTCCACTTGGATCTGAGGAGCGGCCTTGCAGCCTCTACTGCACTGTGAGCCTGCCATGGCGGAGGCTCCTGGTGCCACAGTTCATAGATGATCCAGTGTAGAAGCCCTGGGGCTTCAGCTCAGGGCCTCTGGTGGCATTCATAATGAACCTCACAAGAGAAGGCCTGGCCTTGGTGTCATGCTGACAGTAACCTAGGAGACATCTGGAAAGGCTGAGCCTCCTCATAGACCCTGGGGTCTAGGTAGGAAAACCCCCCTGTTCCTGGTCCGGGACTGTCAGAGACAAGGGACTGGAGCCAGCATCTCCCGGCATATCCTTCACTCAGGATGGCGGCATGTTAGTGCCTCTTGTGGTGAGCCCTCCTTTGCCTTCCTAAGCTGGAGCTGTCTCGTGGCCCTCTCCTCAGAGGGGCCCCTGTGTGACTGACTGTCAGCTGCAGGGAGAAAGACCCCCTGGTGACTGCACTGCCCCCACCCCCAAGTGCATCTCCTCAAAAGGACTCCACACCTTCTAGAAATCAGCAGCTGCTGGGGATAGGAGAGCCTTGAAATATGTGCCAGCGCCTCTGCTTCTAAGGCTGCTGTCCCCGCCGAGGTGACTTTGATGAGCTTCTCCTGCATTTGCAGTAGCCTGCGGGTCTCTGTCAAGGTGGTGGTCTTTAGAGGTGATTTCTCCGTTATTTTACTACTTACGATAAAGCATTTATTTTTGACCAGGCCTGTGGCTTCCAGTAGCAATTTGTTCCTCTAATATGCAAATACTGGCTTCATTTGCTCCATTTTGTGAGTGCTTTGCAAGTGAGCTGATTGTACAACTCAAGGAGAGTCCTTTCCTGCCCCGTTCCAGCTGCCCCTGTGGACTCAGGGTTTAACAAACAAGACTCCTTGGTGAGGGGAAGACAGCACCCAGGAGAGGAAAAGTGCCAGAAGGTTCCTCCCCATGGGGCACACCTCTTCTTTCCCAGAGTCCTAGGCTGCTCTGGGCTGGCCTCCTCAGTCTGGGCTTCTTGGGAGGGGCAGGAGCTGTCTTATCAATTCCACAAGCAGCATTTTATCCAGCTGCCTGATCAGGGCCTCACTCGCTGCAAATGTGGAAAAAGAATTGTGTTCTCCATGTGGGGAGGTGAGGTCCTGTTTCCATGTGGGCGTTTCTGAGCAGCAGTTCATGGTGGGTCTGCTGGCTGAGTCTCCCAGCCAACTGTGACGAGTCTTGTGTGGGCTGGGTTCTCGATATCATGTCCAGGAGTGGTGTGGGCTTCAGGTGTTGTCTTGAAGGGAGGCAGGCACCTTCATGGGCAGGGATTATCATTGAGGTAGTGTCATTTGTTCCTGAATCAGTTGCTTCCTGGCCACATTTGTTTTTTCCTATGACATTCTCTGGTTGAAAGTTGTAGGAGCTGCCAGCACAGAATTGATCTGTCTCCCATGTTTCCTCTACATGGGTTCCTTCCTTTGTCTAATAGATTATCTGTTGCAAAATCTCTTCCAGGGGAGTGTAATCCACTGCCTCTTGGGTAGTCATGATCCCCCAACTGACATCCTGACTTCTGGCAGCATGTGTTGCTGTCAGTGAAGGCAAGTCCTCTCCTTCCTTAGAAGCCATTAGAAACAGGCTAGGGACAGAATGGGCCTGGAGAAATCATTAAAGTTCTAGGTGACATGTACTGTCCTAAATAACTGAAGCTTTTCTAAAAGCAGCCATTTTGTTGGATCAAGTCACATCATTTGAACTGCGTGCTTGGCAGTAGCTATGGTTTGGGCCCGTGTGCAGAGGGCCACCTCCCGGTGTTTCTGTTCTCCCTCACCTGCCTGTTGTTAGGGGCTCTTCTCATCCTACATCCTTATGTGGCTGCATCTGTATGTGTACAGGGATCCCCAAACTCTCCACTCCCTCTTCAGGAGCCCCCAGATATTGCCAAGATCTTGGTGCAATAAAGTAATGCATTTTTGTGAGTTCCTTCTGTGTCTGCCTTTTCCTTTCCTCTTTAAAAAAAGCACATCCCAGCAATGGCCAGGCTGCCTCCCCAGGTCAGGTGGATGTGCTTCCATGCTGCACTCTCGGGTGGCCATCCGCAGCTGGGATCAGAGAACCTAGGAGTGTTGGCCATCTTGAGTAATGTACTGGAATCCCCTTCTCAGGGGGAAAAAAGTTTTTTTTAAATAAAAGATTTAAAGAAATACATGTATATCCCATAATTGTATTTGTTTAAATTTAAGAATGAAGACGGACAGGCAGTGGTGGTGCACGCCTTTAATCCCAGCACTTGGGAACAGAGGTAGGTGGATCTCTGTAAGTTCGAGGCCAGCCTGGTCTACAGAGTGAGTTCCAGGACAGCCAGGGCTGTTACACAGAGAAACCCTGTCTTGAAAAACCAAAAGAAGGAGGAGGAGGAGGACGACGACCGCTTCTGGTTCTGTAGATGTTGGGGTGATTTTAAATGAACACTGTAGAAAGGAAGCTCAAAGCAGCATTGTTCCACCGAGATGTGCTGCTTTGTTTTGCTCAGAGGACGTGAGGTTGCCTCACAGATGGTGAGAATAGGGCCGGATGAGGATTTGGATCTGAGTTTGACCTACATACAGGAGGAGAATGTTGTCACCATCTGTTGTGGGGAACACTTTCTGGGGAGACATAAACAAATGTCCACCACCTCATAGGGCACCAGTGTCAAACGGTAGAAAAGCTCCACCAGAGTCCCAACTGTGGGGACCAGTAAACTCTTGGGTTTACCTCCAGAGCATTAGTGACTGCAAGGCAGCCACACCACGGGCATGGATGATGACTTCCCACCCTCTGCCAACCCTCCTCAGTCAGTGTATATACTCCAGCAAGCTCTGAGACCATGGGTTCATGTACAGTTACGGCAAACGTACATACGTACGATTGTCTGGGAAGAGCCGAGGAAATGATTGAGATAGAGTGAGGGTCCTCAGCCCACCCTTCAGCAGGGATATCAGCTGTCAACGAGTCAGTGTTGTAGTGGCTTTTATATTCCAAGGATAGTGTTGTGCAATGCCATAGTCCCTTCCGGCCTAGTGGTGGCACGATGTCCAGCGGCTTCCCAGCCACAGGACGGAGGCACGGTGAGAAGACACTTGTGTTTTGTGTGGACGAGGGTTTCTCCCATTGACACAGGACTTCATTAGGTGTGTATGGAAATTGCTGGGTTCTTCATGTCTATCCCAGCCTCTGGTTTTTCTCAGCAGAGCACCTGTCCTAAAAGTTGGGATCAGATAGGTCCCTCTGAGGGTGCCTGTGAGCAGGAGGGTTCCAATTACAAAAGCCACCCTTCAGAGCAGCTTCCAATTTAGTGGATTTCCCTCCAAGTGCCACTCAGCAGTTCCGTGTCGACTTGGCACCTCTATGCCGCCTCCTTTAGGGACTTCTGGAAGCTTCCAATCTAGCAGACACAAGGAGTTTGGTCTTTGGCTTAGTGTTCTCAGATGTTTATCCAGACAAGTCAAGATGGGAACAGAAAGCAAGCATGCAGGTGAGGTGAGGCCACTGCTGGCCACAAACCAGAGGAGGGCGCAGTGACTGTTCTCCTGGGCACAGTGGTGACAGGCTGTTAAGATCACCCTCTTAGTGCCACTTCCCCAACCCCTAGCTGGCTCTGGTATGAGTGTGAAGCCAAGCGGATGACTTGCTGGCAGCAGAGGATCCCACAGGCAGAGCTGACAGTTCCAATGTAGGATGAGAGCTTTGGGGACAAAGGACCCCAAGGCCGGAGGAAGTGCCTGGAGGAGGGGCAGTGTGAGAGTGTTGACGGTCAGCCTGGGCTCCTGAGATAACTAACTCCAGGCAGTGACAAACGTGGCCCAGGCAGGCCGTACTGGCCAACCTGGTCTGACTGGCCTCTTAGACACCTGAGCTGACAGCTTCTGCACCTGGAAAGGGGTGGAGTACAGAGGACACAGGAGGATGGCCTGTGGGAGGGAGGCCAGAAGGCTCCCAGCCCCGAGCTAAGCGCAGAGACCTACACGTTGTGTTGTGTTCCTTACTTCTGACAGAGTACCGGCGAGAGCAGTTTAAGAACGGAAGGGTTTGCTCTGGCTCACTTTGAGCCTCCAGTCCTTCCTGATGGGAGAGTCATGGCGGCAGGAGCGGGAGACAGCTGTTACATTGTATCCGCTCTCAGGAAGCCGAGATGAATGCTGGTGCCTAACTGCCTTCTTTTTATGCAGTCGGTCCTCAGCCACCCCCAGTTAGAGTGGATCTTCCCACTTCAGTAAACCTAGTCTAGAAGTTTCATCACTGGCTTGCCTAGGTGATTTTAGATCCTGTCAAGCTGGCAATATTAACCATTGCATGCCTGAAACAAGCTATGGACACCATTGTCCTCTAGCCTCTGTGGCCTGCAGCCACAGGAAGAGGTGCCTCTCTGGGGTGGCCTGGGCTCCCACTTGGTTTTCCTTCCAGGGGTGGACCTTGCTGCCTCCCATGTCTCCCTCTCCACTGTGCGCGGAAGTCTCCTGTCTTGCGATGTCATACTTTCCTCTAGTATGCTTCAGCCTCTTGCTCTCTCTTTGCTCCATTTGTGGCCCCGTTCAGCTCCCATGTGTGATGTGCGTTTGCCCCCGGCTTCTGAGGACTACCTGTCACCGCCCCTTCCCCGTTCCTCTCATGCACCGTGCAGGGTGAGCCAGTGGACACTCAGGTATGGATTCACACAGCTCAAGTGGCCCGCTGCGACTGTCCTGCTGGTAGGGTGTGGTCTGCCCTTTGATCTGTGCTCACTCCTGTAGTTGGCCACAGCCCCTGACTTCAGCCTGGAGTTCTTCCCGTCTGCTCCTGAACACCTGATCTAACTGCCTACTGTCTTGAAATGCCCTCCTTCCACCGGACTAAGCCTGGGACGCTGTCATTCTCCTGGACTTGGTCTCCCACCCAGTTCTCCAGTTTCACTGTCTCCTAAAACAGGAAACCCTGATTGGATGGTGGGACAGACAAGCTCCTGTGAGAGGATAGAGTCAGGTGACCTTGGAGCTCCTGTCTCAGGTCCACCTCTACCAGGTGCCTTAGGTCAAGGGACTAGCCCCTTGCCAGTTGGCCAACTGGAGGCTGTTGCTTAGGCCCAAGACTTCCTCAAGGACAGCTGCTTCGCCTGGATCCAGCTTTGCCAAGGTTGAGGTCAGGCTGGACTGAGGTTTTTTTCTTTTTCTTTTTTTCTTTTGGTTTTTTGAGACAGAGTTTCGCTATATAGCCTTGGAACTCACTCTTTGACCAGGCTAGCCTCGGACCCAGATCCTCCGCCTGCTTCTGCCTCCCACGAGCTGGGCTTAAAGGTGTGTGCCAGCACTGCCCAGCTGGACTGAGGTTTTCGATCATGACTTGCTATCTGAAGGAGGACAGGAATCTAGACCAGGGTGTGACAGGGTCTTATACGAGTCGGGTCTGCCACTATGTCAGCTGTGTGTTGCTCCTCTAAAGTGCAGGGGTGGAGCCACCCCGTCATCCGTTGTCGTCACTGGGTGTCATTGTCACCCTGGCTCTGCTTGTTCTCCTTCCTTTAGGAGGATGGTCTCTGCTGTCAATAGGAGTGTCAGTGAGCAGCACAGCCAGGCTGTGGGGACAGAGCGGCTTCTTACTGTGGTTGGGTGTCTTCTGACAGCGTCTAGGTACATAACAAATACCTGCTGGGAAATGTGTGGGACTCTTACGAACAAATTTTATTTATTTGAGACAGGGTCTTACTATGTAGTCCTGGCTAGCTTGGAACTCAGAGGCCAGAAGAGGGTATCAGATTCCCTGGAACTGAAGTTACAGGCATTTGTGAGCCTCCATATGGGTGCTGGGGATTAAACCCAGATCCTCTGCAAGAGTAGCCAGTGCTCTTAACTGCTAAGCCTTCTCCCCAGTCCCTTGTGACTGTATTGTCAAATCTAAACCATCATCACCCCATGCTCAGAGTGGACATTCTTTTTTTCGTTTTGTTTTGTTTTTTTGTTTTTGTTTTTAGAGACAGGGTTTCTCTGTGTAGCTTTGCGCCTTTCCCTGGGACTCACTTGGTAGCCCAGGCTGGCCTTGAACTCACAGAGATCCACCTGGCTCTGCCTCCCAAGTGCTGGGATTAAAGGCATGCGCCACCAACGCCCGGTCAGAGTGGACAGTCTTAAAACATACCTTAAAGGATTTGGTTTTTATTTTTGAGTTATATGTATGTATTTTGTGGGGTACGGGCACATGCTAGGGTACACACATGAAGGTTGGAGGACAGTGTATGGGAGCCCATTTTCCTCTACCGTGTGGGTTCCAGGGATGGAGCTCAGAGCCATCTCACCCCTGCCTGTGATCCTTCTGTTCTTGTGAAATTAGAAGCAACCAACCCCTCTAAGTGTATTTTCCCCACACCTCGACGTGTTACTCTGACATTTCTTTTTTTTAATTAATTAATTTATTTATTTTTAACGGACATTGGTGTCTTGCCTGCATATATGTCTCTGTTAGGGTATGGGATCCTCTGGAACTGGAGTTACAGACAGGCTTGAGCTGCTATGTGGGTGCTGGGAATTGAATCTGGGTCCGCTGGAAGAGCAGCCAGTGCTCTTAACTGCTGAGCCATCTCTCCAGCCCCTATTCTGACATTTCTGTCATACATTGTTATAGTTAAATAGGTCCCATTGCCAGGGACCAGGGTCATTGTCTTCAGCCAGGGCCTAGATGGTAACATTTGTTGAATGGGTGAACTAGAAAGGCGTGTGGAGGAAGCATGACTGTGACCATGACTTAGACGGCTCAAGAAACAGGTGGCCCCTCCCCCAGCACCGACACACACAGAGCCAGGCCTCCAAAGCCTCCTTTACCCATCTGGCTTTCCTGTGCCTTCTGAGGGCCCCACCCCACGCCTTTGTCTTTTTCATACTTGGAAACACTTTGGTGAAGTCAAGCTGGAACCAGAGCAGTAATTCCTCTTTTTGGAGTGAACGCCCCAATGTGGCGCGTGGCCAGCTGC